CTATACAGATGGCTCTGTTGAGGGCCAGACGAAGTGCATTGGGGTTCAAAGCAGAGTGCAGAGTGGCAGGCATCGCTTCGGAGGTCCCGGGTAGTTAGAGTCCTTTGGATATTTTCTCCAGGTTATTCTAGTGTGTTTCGAAACGAGCAGGCAGATAGATTGGCCTGTTCTGCATCACTTGGCGGTGAACTGATGTATGACAGGCTAGATGTTGTGAGGGCCCTTTGGGAGCGAATGAACAGTGCGGAGATACAAACAGATCAGTATGGTCTGAGGAGAATGGCGCTGCGAGGAGTTACCAGAGGATCAGACCGACGCTGAACATTCAAGGAAAAATTGAGACGGATGTATGTACAATCAGACAGTTACTGATGCCATCGGAATTGGAACTCTTCGTTTGCTGCTGAAGATGGGGATGGAGGGTTTATGGGAGTGTCCCGAGTGCTGTAATGTCGGTTACTAATTCAACATTTAACATTTACACATACAGGGTCACCGAGAATGATTTTAAACTATGATTATAAAAGATGTATTTAATGAATATACACATGTGTCGTCTTATAACGTTAAGAAAAGTTTGCAGTTTCGTGTGATCTTGAGTAAACGTGAGGCTTCAAACGGCGCTGAAAAGATAAATTCTTTGCTTTGCTAATTTAAAATAAATCGTCACGTTTAACCAGCATCCTCATAAGGGGTAAGGGAGGAGAGGGGGGGGGTCTAGGTTATAATTACGACTAGGTTATGTGCGCCATATAAAATGGCATAGCATTGAAAAGGACTCCTGCAGAGTTGATGTGATCAGAGGAGACATACCCAAATACTGTCCCGACCAGCGACGAAGTCGTCTACCGGGGAGCCACTGGGCAACCCGGTCGTCGATGACGATACTGAGAAAATAACAAACATCCAGTGCTCTAAAGAGAGGGTGGCTGCAGCAACGTTAAATGTTTAATTAAGAATCGATATCACAACACTCGGGACACTCCCATAAGTGCTCAGTCCCCATCTTCAGCAGCAAGCAAAGAGCTCCAATTCTGATGATACCAGTAACCGTCTGATTGTATATCCGTCTCATCCTTTCCCTGAGTGTTGAGCATCGGCCAGATTCCCTCGTAACTCCTTGCAGCGCCTTTCTCCATAGACCGTAGTTATCTATCTGTGCCTGCGCACTGTTCACTCGCTCCAAATCTGGCTGCAACAACCGCAGCTGTAACTTTTGATACGATTCAGAAGACTTGGCAGGAGATTGAACACTAGACATCACCAGAGCTGCAAATGGCGCCTATTCCAAAGTGTACTAACTAGGTAAGTCTAACACTCGGAACTGATCTAAACATTTTAAGATGCCGCACGATTATATGCATTTATTACTTCTTGTATTGGCTAATAAATAGTATCTTGTCTCGTAAGCTGAAATATTTAGGTCATATCAAGCGCCATGTCGGATTAACAAAAATAATAGCAGAAGGCATGGTACCAGGAACGAGAGGCAATGGCCAACTAACACAAAGATGGACACAGGATATAAGTGACTGCTTGAGTATGACAGTACACGAGGCGGGAAAGCTGGCGAGAGACCGAGTTTCTTTCAGGCAGTGATGCCAGCGACGTCTTCAAAGGAGCTGCTACATTATGATGATGATGATAACGATGATGATGATAACGATGATGATGATAACGATGATGATGATAACGATGATGATGATGATGATTTCTTTTGAAGTCGAAGGCCATCTGCCGGAGAGGCTAGGAACCAATAATCAACATACAGATAAATCAGATGCGTAAAACGGATGTGCACACAACACTCAGGTTCTGGAACAAGACTAGAGGTAAACGCGTAGCCAAAGCTTTCCACCAGAGTTTACAGCCGGTGAACCCGAAAAAGAAGAAGAATAAGTTGACACACCCGTTCTGATAAATATAATTCCGCGACCCTGTGGTACAGTCTGATAGAAACTGGTTGTTGATTACAGATCAATGTTTCCCGAGCTATGTCAATCATTCATTCATTCCTTCATTAGTTCGTTCATTAGTTTGTTCATTCGTTCGTTCATTAATTTATTCACCTATTCATTCACGATATTATTCATTCACTCATTCATCCATTAAATCATTCATTCGCTTTTATCTTTATTCATTCGTTCATTAAATCATTCATTCACTCATTCATGATTAAATCATCCATTCGATTATACCTTTATTCACTCATTCATCCATTAAATCATTTATTCACTCCTTCATCTAATAAATAATCCAATCGCTTATATCGTCATTCATTCATTTGTTTATTAAATCATTCATTCACTCATTAGTCGATTATATAGTCCATTTTCTTATACCTTAATTCACACATTCATTAGATCACTCATTTACACATACTTTCATTCAATCATTCATTTATTAAATCAATAATTAATTCATTAAATAAATCATTCACCCATGCATCCATTAAATCATTGTTTCATCCTTTAAATTATTCATTTATTCATTGATCCATAAAATCATACATTAACTTATTCATTCATTAAATCATTCATTTACTCATTTATTCATTAAATCATGTATTCATATTTGTATGTTGTTATTGTTGTTATTGATCCAGCGGCGCATGAGCTTTCGCACTTTTGCCCAATGACATGTAGTGGAATTTACATATTTTCAAAGCTGTTCTTTTTCTCTGTACAAGGTGTGCCACTTGTCTGGTCTCGGAGGGAGTAGCGTTCTTCTAGTCTCGTTGAGTTTTGGGAGCTCAGAGAGAGGATGGTCAATAGTTTCGTAGGGGTAGTTACATAGCTGGCACTCTGGGGAGTGTTGTGGCTGTATTCTGTTCAGGTATCCATTGAGTGGAGTATGTTGTGTTCTAAGTCTGAAGATGGTGGTCTGGTCCCTCTTGTTGTTGTTGTTATCGATCCAGCGGCGCATGAGCTTTCGCCCTTTGGCCCAAGTCCCTCTTGTTAAATGGTTAATGCTGTCATTAGGATCAGGGCCAGCCATGTGTCTATAAACCTCTCTTCCAGTGTCTCCCATGGCCCATCTGTTCAGCCAGATCTCTTTGTTTATAGCTCTTATAAGTTTTTTTGCAGTCTGTAGGGTTGTCGCTGTAGGTGGTTGTTCTCTGTCTGTAGGATTGTCGCTGTACGTGGTTGTTCTCTGTCTGTAGGGTTGTCGCTGTAGGTGGTTGTTCTCTGTAGAGTTGTCGCTGTAGGTGGTTGTTCTCTGTCTGTAGGGTTGTCGCTGTAGGTGGTTGTTCTTGTGATGCTCATTTCTTTGCCAGTCTGTCAGCTCTGTCATTACCTGGTGTGCCGGAGTGGCCTGGAATCCATTGCATCACTATTCTGATGTTGTATGAGGTAATGAGCTGATGAGCATCTAGAATTATCTTAGTTATGTCAGTTCTGCAGCTTTCACTGCCCTCCAGAGCTTGAAGAGCAGACATTGAATCGGTGAAGATGACAATATTTTAGGTCTTTATTTGTATGTACATACACACCACACACATATATGCATGCACACTCATAAATAAAGCAATTACTTACTGCGGATAATCTTTACTGTAGAATGGAGGCTGCAAGATGGCAGCTGGAAACACTGTAAAATATAGAGCACATTATATTCATGTTCTCATTATGAAAGTCATCGTAGTAGGTATGGATATAAAAGTAGTCGTGGCAGTGGTAGTAGTTGAAGCAGTTGAAGTATTAGTAGCAGCTGTAGTAGTAGCAGTTATAGTAATATAAGTTGTCGTGGTGGTGGTAGTAGTGGTAGTAGTAGTAGTAGCAGTAGCAGTAACAGTAGTAGTAGGAGGATGAGGAGCAAGAGAAATATTCTTTCAATTTTACTTACAATACAATAGTCAGTTTCATGGCAAAAAATTCCACCTTTGTATCAACATGGAGATGATCAAATCACCGTTTTCCCACTCAGTCACCACTAAAGTGATCACATTCATCATCACTTCGTCACTCTGCAACTGCTGACGTGATTATACTTGTCACCATTTCACCACTGATGTGATCACGCTTTTCCATAATTTACCACTCAGTCACCACTGATGTGATCACGCTTTTCCATAATTCATCACTCAGTCACCAGTGATGTGATCATACTTATCCCTGCTTCACCACTTAGTCACTACTAATGTGAACAACCACGAGACATCATCTTGTTACTATTAACACCAGCACTTTGTGACAATAGGCAAAACACATAGTTTATAACTATGGACAGGACTTCCCAAACTTTTACAGGAATTTCTTGCCAAACTTGTATTATTTTCCCTTCTAAAATCAGGTATTACCTTTAATTGCTAAATGGCATGTCAAAGTGTAGTCATGGTGATGCAGCGGCTAAATCTCGCCTGCGGGTCAGAAGGTCATGGCCCTTAGGTCGACCTAGCCTTGAGTGGATACCAGGTGCAGTCCTGGAAAGTAAAGGACGCCGCCGTGGTGCTGACCACATAACCCACCAAGTGCTGATTGGTCTATAAAATAGAGGTTTAGCTCTCTATACGTCTGAAGGCATAGAAACGTTTTTTTTTTTTAAATTTTAAATTACGTCAAAATGTCCGTATCTCTTACAAGAAATTAGTATAAATTCTGGTTTGCTATAGGACTGAATTACTGTGTCGCGAGATTATGTTTGTCTAAAATAAATATGCCAGTACAAGAGAAACTTGGAAAGCCCTGACTTGGGAAAAAAAGAAACACACACACACACACACACACACACACACACGACTGGGCTGTAAATGGTAACGAACTTACTTATTTGGTTTTTATTAGAGCTGTAGAATGCGTTGACCACAGCCGGAGTGGTTGACCACCTGTGGATACATTGCGAGCAAATCTAACATCTATGTATGGTGAATGAGGCTTTCGTGTGAGTGCAGCCCCACGGAAGCAAAAGAGAAGAAAGAGGAACAGCACAAGGTAGGCTCAGAGCAAGATGGAAAGATTAAATCAGAGACACTCTACAATTGCACAACAAAAACCAAGAGC